TCCATGCTCATAATGCTAATGCCTATTCAGATGCTAATCTGCCAGCGCTGCCTCGAGAGCGCTGCTATTATTCCAGACCTGCAATAAAAATAAAAAAAAACAACAATTTTTTTTTAAACATACAAATTCCGAATCATTCTTCAACCCGAGGTCTGGTTTAGCGTGTTGAACACAATCACCTTACCTAATGAGGTTTGTTTGACAGCACTGCTCTTGCCAAAATGAGTTATTTATTGGCTACTACTTAGAATGGAGTTTAATAATTTACAGGTAGATTTACATCTGTGTTGCTGGATCCCTTTATCTCTCTCTCTCTCGCTATATATATAATATCATATGCAGTTTGCTGTCTCAAGAAGGTACAACATGACCTGCTAAGGTCCCCCCCACCCCCATTCCACTCCTACACTACACACCGCATTTTTCCGCTCACTACAATGCTGCAATTGGAACTGTCAAGCGTTTGTTTTTTTTGCATTCCAACTAACATTGTTTTAAAGGGCAATTACTCAATGGATCATTCCCCCCACAGTCAATCAGGGGAATCTGGTTAATCGTATGTAATGTTCTTTCTTTATGCATGGTTTTCAAACATTTACCCTTGAAACATTATACTTTTGAGTTTCAGAATTCTTGATTATCAATATCAGTCAAAATAGAAAAATGGGTTCCCATGATGAACGTTTACGGAACCCAACATTAGTTATCGTGGTTTCCCATTGGGTAATCCGACGGAACCGAAAAACGGTTACCATGAATTTCCGAAATCCTCAGGCCTGCTCCTGAATTATTTAAATTTTTGCAGCATTTGTTTATAATTGTATGTATATTATGTTGTTTGTGTTATCATATGCAATTGAATAAGTAGACCATTTCGGAATTCGAAATTTGGGACTCTCTCAATGCATAATGGGACTCATACTTTTCTGATCAGTGAGTCCCTGGGACTCGCTGCAGGTAAACTGTAAAATGATCACTGAGAGATTACCGCTTTTTCTGCAGTCAGTGATTGACTTCTATGCGTGCCTGTTAAGTCCAATTACCCCATGGGGATGAATAAAGTTTTCTGAATCTGAATCTGAATCTGATCTAAAACATTCATTCATAAATGTATATCATATGATTTTATTTCTTTTTCTCAGTATAAATAACACGTACCCTGACTGTTCTACTCTTTGAATAAAATCACTTCATTCAAGCGTTAGGGAGTGCAAAGGGTTATGATGGAGGGGTGTTGCAAATCATGAGGACCTGCCAAGTGGTATGATCGCATTGTTTTATACATGTCCTCGGCTAGGCCTCAATTTCAAAATCAGTCCTTGGTCCTTGGCCTTGGCCTTGGAGGCAAGTCCTTGGTCCTTGGCCTTGGCCTCGGAAAATTTTTCAAGTCCTTGGCCTTGGCCTTGCCTCGGAAAATTTTCCAAGTCCTTGGCCTTGGCCTTGGCCTCGGAGGCAAGTCCTTGGCCTTGGCCTTGGCCTTGGCCTCGGGTTGCCGGTCCTTGGACACATCCCTGCAAAGCAGTCAAATGTTCTGCCTGTAATTCATATCTTACTTGTGAGTGCTAAGGAGCAGAAATAGACAATGTTTTATCCATAAAATATTCTTTAAAATTAATCGACCAATTAATCGGTTGTCTGAAATTTATTCGGCACGGACCTAAAAAAAAAAAACCCAACCCGGGCGGGCCCTGGTTAGCTTGTGTGCCTCAGGGATCAAATTGCTGCTCTCTGTGTACGCCGGCTTCTTCCCACATTCTAAAAACATTCATGCAAGGTTGATTGAAGACTCTAAATTGTCCTTTGGTGTGACACTTAGTGTAAATGCTTCTTTTACCTATATGTGGCCTAAATTTGGATGGCATTCAGTCCAGGGTTTGTGCAGCCTCTCCCCCGTCGCCAGCTGGGATCAGCTGCAGCTCACCTGTGATGACCTAAACTTAACTCAACTGTATTTATAGAGCAACCACTGCTGTATCCAAAGGGCTGTACACAGAGCAAAATCAAAGTTATCCTTTCTGTTAAATGGTGTCAATTAACAAAAACTGTTAACATTTTCCATTAGGTTGTGCAAAATACCAAATTATTGGTAGTCATCTTCTATATATCCAATATTCTACATTTGTAGTTGATTCAGAATGGTCTGTTTGGCTAGAAGATCCCAGGATCTGTTACAATATGACTAGAGATGAATAATTTCATGATATGAGAAAGATCTGAGAGGTGTCAAATTATAGCATTAATTGCAAATAATTAATTACAGTCATATTTAACGCGTTATATATTTTTTTGTCATGTTAATCTAAATTTTAATCTCTAACTTTATTGTTTCTGTCGGTGGGTTGCCTTTTTCTAATTTCCCTTTTTATGTGTTGGCTTCCTGTGTTCGAGTTGTTGAAGGTGGGGAAACAATGGTCAGTCACAGCCTGAAGCGAACATTGATTGGCTGTCATTATGTTTGGGCTTGTTTAGCATAAGATGATAGGCTCCCATTGGAGTTGAGAGGGCCAGGTCAGCAGCAGTGAGGAGAGGAGAGGTGAAAATGGAGGAGCATGTGAGAGTTCTCGGCCCAATGAATGGAAAATGTCCATTCCAAAAAGACCCTGACGGCACTACTGATAAAGGTCGTTTTGTGCCTAATTTGTAAGGAGGAGTTTGCTTACCACCGAAGCAGCTCAAGTTTAGCCTCCCGCATAAATGCAAAGCACCCAGTCGCGAGTGCAGCCACAGCTAACATTAGCACCGAAAGCGTTAGCAATAGGGCGAGCCATAGTAAAGCTCTTCACCAAACTAAACTCGAGGAGAACACCCCGCATGCGAGGCATGAAGTCAGCATAGTTGCTGTGTTCTCTGTAGCCTACTGGAAGTGATTGATGTTTATTTCAGCACTTCATGTTGTAATGATGAACAGTGTTAGTTCTCAAGTACTAACTTACAGGACTGTGATTTAAGGGTCTGGTTTATTTATTTTTCATTATCTGAAGCAAGTTCAATGTTCAGTACTTGTATTGCTCAGATGGATCATCAAGTGTTCTTACTCTTTTTGATATGTTAAGTACGTTTTATGGACCTTATGTTCTATTTTATTTTTATTTTGTAATTTTTTTGGAGATTTACAAAAAAACTCAACTAAAGAGTGATCTTGCCCCTGGTGGTCAAAACTAAAGGATGCAGGTAGGACTTGGGACTAGTCTCAAATACAGCAGAAAGTAAGTGGCTAAGACTGCATCTGTTCAAGTCTGTTTAAAAACAATAAAATACTTTTTTTTGTGATATCAGTCTTTTTGATCTGCCTCAATAATGTAATGAATTAAAAATGAAAATAGGGGGTTTCTCAGCATTTTTTAGATGAGATTAAAATATAGATTATTTAAATCAATTAATTACAGATCATAATTAATCTGTTTTTTAATCTCTTGACAGCAAGCACTAAAAGATCTATTATAATTTCGTCATGCCAACTCAAAGTTTGCCTGGGCTATGAATATTTGTGGTCTTATTCATTCATTTTTGCAAATGGCTGGCAAGCAGTCAAAGTATACTCTGCCTCTAGCCCAAAGTCAGCTGGGATAGGCTCCAGCTCACCCGCAGCCCTAATGAGGTTTAGCGGGATAACAAGCCCGGGGGATTGGACTTCCATTCATTTATCTATTGAAATGGTGCATGATGAGTTCAAAAGCAAAAGCCGACGCGTGGCGATTACACAAAAAAGAGCCACACCTACAAGCAGATTGGCGTTGAAGGCATCATTTGATGTTGGATTTCGAAAGCATGCAACACCACACTCGTCGAAAATTACAGGTTTCGAGTCTAAGCCTTAAGTCAGTGATTGCTAAAGTGTGCTGCTCGTAACGCTCATTCCAGTACGCCGACTCCCTCTAGTGGTACTCACAAGGATCACTGATTTCAACGTTCAAACTGTGGCTAATGTTATAGTGGCTTAAATTGTTTTTAATCTGTGCAGTACAGTTAGACGTATTTGACGTTTCAATACAATACTTTTGCAGTTGGCTTTGAGAAATATTTGTTGTAAGCACACATTTTATTCATTACTCAAGTGCAGTTTTTATTTTTCATCCAGAAGCCAGGTGAGGATAAGCAGGTCTGTCGTTTGTGAATCAATGCTTTCTATGCTACTGCATTTTAATGTTGGTCATTATGGTGCTACTTCTTCTTTTCCTTTCGGCTTTTCCCCTCAGGGGTTGCCACAGCGAATCAGTTACCTCCATCTAACCCTGTTTTGTGCAACCTCGTCTCTCACACCAGCTACCTTCATGTCCTCTTTCACTACATTATGGCGCTACTTGGAGAGCAAAATATTATGAAAGTGTGACTAGATGTTTAAAAACAACAACAAAAAAACACTGGCCTAAATAATTTAGTCTTTGTCTCTTTAGTCTCAAGACCATTACAATGTCCTTACATTCCAATGCACATCGAGACCTATAAAGTAAAAGTCATGAATGCATGTCAATCACAACAAAAGCTTATCAAACACTTGTCTACGTTGACAATAAAGAGGCGGCATTAGAGACTTCCTGCTGTCTGACCTCTCTCAAGTGAGAGGTGAACCGTAGGCTCCATGCAGACCATTAGTCAGACACAATCTCACAGCTTCATAGCAGATTAGTCTGCTGTATTAGGATTTAGAGATCTATTAATGTTATCCCTCTGTTTTAGTGTGGCCGAGGTTTTAGGGGAGCTTACATGTGCACGGAGAAACACACACTTAACTACACGCATGCACGCACACATACAAGCTGCTCGGGTTATGGAGTTCACAATCAGTGGATTAAGGTGAAATTTAGACGGTAGCTTAATGGAAACGACAGTAGCATTGTGCAAATGTAACTTTACTTGCATGACTTTTTTAATGTTTTTTTTTTTTTTTTTTATAAACAGGAATTTTGTGTGTTGTGTGTGTGTGTGCGCATTGAACCAACTGAACACGTCGCATCCACTCTGGTGGTTTTGCTATGTTGTAAACTGAATGTCTTTCTCAGGGCCGACGAGATTGAGATGGTGATGACAGACCTTGAAAGAGCCAATCAGGTAAACACACTGACTCTCAGAGGAATGAGAATGCAGTACTTTAGTTGACTTTGTAATTGTCTTCTATTCCACAAGTAAGACAAAACACATGCACTACTCGCAAAAAGTTTGGGATATTCAGCTTCCTAATTCAATTTCAGGACGACTCTAGATTGCAGGTGAACATATTTTTACTTTCTCCATGCTTTCTCCAACCCTGTTTCATTAAAAATTTCTGTTGAACACAATGGGGTCAATCAGCATTCAACAACTACAATAACGTAATGATGAACATATTAACTCAAAGGCTCGACTGGTCTGTCTGTTCATTTCCATTATTTCCAATTTTCTAAACTGAAGCAGCTTCATTGTGCTGGTATTTTCGAAACAGAACCATGAAAATGTTTCCTCCCAGCCTATATTGACTGCGTTGCTTTTGGTTCATGTTTGTTTTTTCATTTCTCACAAGGCCAGTAACCCCATCCAGCTGAAACAGGCCCCTTAGCACGCCCTCTGCCCTTTGTGCTGTAAATATTCCCATGGTATCTGTTAATGTCATTGTTGTTAACTTTCATTATTAGCCCACAAGTATGATTTGTGGCTAAAGGGTTAGCATGGGCATGTAATGTTAATATTAGCCTAAAGGTTAGCACTCTCGATGATAATGCCACACGCACGCACGCACTCCCACGCACACACACACACACGAACGTGCACTATTCTCACTTCTGATTTGAGGTTTACTGAGGATGACAGCATGGCCTGCAGCTCAGCCACAGACTTTTTATACGCTTTTATAAGGAGAAAATGGAAAACAGCATTTTGCTCTGGCGACGAGGCAGTCCGGCTCCCCGCCCTGTCAATAGCGGCTCCCAATGTGGTTGCAATTAGGAACGCTGTGGAATCGGCTGCCTGTAACTCCTAATGATGCCGTGTTTACCCCGTGTTACTGATGATTCCCGACTGGAGCGTGGCTGTTTGACCATAAAAAGAGGCAGTGGGTGTCATCTCAATTTTCCAAGCCAATGTAATATTTCACTTTATTGAACCGAAGGAAAAACCCTTCCTCCCTGTGGTGTTAATGTGTTTACGCTGGAAGGAATAGGACTTTGTCGCCACACTGACTGTAAGACAACATATTGAAGTCTGCCGATGTTCACGCGTTGTGCACAATATGGTTGAATTCAGGTGATTTGAGCGAGAAAAAGTGTTAATAAATTGTTAGATCAGTCATCACCATCAGCTCCGCTGACACCACCCTCCATAAAATTATAGCCACAAGCTGAATTTATATGAAGTTAGTGGCATGCCAGCGCCATGCAACGCCAGTCGCCTCACTCTCAGTCCACGCGTATTGAAGGTTTTTTTTTTTTCTCCTCAGGGCTTGAGACTGGTTTAAGGAAATTGGTGCCCAAATACAAAGATAACACATTAATTCTTATTTGAGCTGCATAAACATGAGATTAATCGTGTTTGACCGTAAGAACTGCGTCTTTTCTTCTCCTCCTGACAGCGAGCTGAGGTGGCGCAAAGAGAGGCTGAGTCACTGCGGGAACAGCTGTCCTTGAGGACCCAATCCCAGCAGGCCGGCAGCCCGTCCAGCAAGGCCAACCTCGACACGGTAACGTCCTTTTGCTTCCTCGCTGATTTACCACGCGGGTGACAGAGACATATTGACGAACTTAAGATCAGCTCGGCCTTTTGCTTCAGAGGCGGTCGCTTGATCACAACAGGAATTTAATTGATGACCGTTGTCATTGGTCTCCAAGGTCGTTCATTGACTAAATGAACAGGAGTACTATTTGAGGAGTTGTTGGCCTCATCACTGGTTCTGCAGTAGGTCAGAGAGCTGCTTGTGTGTGTGTGTGTGTGTGTGTGTGTGTGTGTGTGTGTGTGTGTGTGTGTGTGTGTGTGTGTGTGTGTTTCTATAGGTGTATATGTACAGTGGTACCTCGACTTAGGAAATTAATTGGTTCTGCAAGAAATTTCTTAACTAGAAAATTTTGTAAGTAGAGACCCGTTTTCCATGTAAATGCCCTAATCCAAAATTCAGACATAAATGTTTTCTAAGGCATAAAAATGCATCAGAATATGTCTCAAATATATGTTACAATTAGATTAGTGCACAATAAATGAGTTGTGCATAATGTAAAAAACAAAGAACGGAGTAAAGAATAAAAATGATTTAGTTCATGTTCTCTCTCAGAAGTAGTTTTTGCCTGGTGTTTTGTAATGAACTGATCCAAGGACATTTGCTTTTGTCGGCTTTTAACAACCCTTCAAAAATGTCCAAGGCAAACATCAGCATAGTGAGCGATCGCCCGACCGTTGAACACTTTTTCTGGGTGATTCACATTTATGTAAAATTATCGGTACATCTCATGGCCCGAAGGGCGAATGACGAGGATGCTGCATAGACACATATCCATCTATTTATCTATCTACACACACAGACACATTTGGTAGAGGCTCTAAGCCAATGGGATGCCAGGAAGATGCTAGGTAACAACCAATGGCAGAGCAGCTATATTGCATTCAGGAAACTCAGTGCTGCGAGTAGCAACTGTTAAGATATGATTCCTCTCTGTTAGCTGGATTTGAAAGAAACAATGTAGGATGCCGTTGAAGGTATTTCCTGCTTACTGTGATTACAATCACCTTTGGTACCCCCTCACCCCCACTACTTTTATGACCCCTCCAGAGGACATGTCAACATCAAAAGAGGAACTGTTATCTCACGTATCTGTGTTGCAGCTATTGAGGGACTGCACTTTACTATGAGTACTATTGATCTCAGTCTCTTTCCTGAACATCTGTTTGCACACTTAAAAACAACGTATGTAGTGTTAAAAGTTTATCTTCTTCCTCCTTGGTTGATTAATGGCCCCCCAAGTGTCTTCTGTTGTCCCCCCGCACCTTGGGTCGGTCCCTGATTGCTGTTAAGCCCCCCTGGGAAGACCTCTTATCTCAGGATGTATGCACAGCGGGGGTTCTGGAACTTGCCATCACACCAAATGGTGGGTAGTGGTGGTCTGGTCTCACCTCACCACTCCCAACTTCTTCCAGCCACACCGGGTCAGATGTCATGTTACTGTCTTTGTTTCCGGGATTTGCATGAGAGGCGTACCTAACCGCCTCTCATTATCATATTGTCTCTATATAATCTCATGAATGTGTTTCTTCTACGCTTCCTGATTCAAATCTGGACCCCTCAGGAGCCCAAATCTATTTGTAAACTGCAGAAATAAATTAAAAGCCTTCGAAGGAACTGTTCATCGCCTCCAGCCTTTATTTGGATGACCAACATTCTCCTCGTCCGAAATTCAACGAACACGCGGGGAAGAGGAGGCCGCTCTGACCCCAACAGCGTGTATACCGAAACACATACGTGTACATACATAGATGGCACATATAATTATATTTATGTAGAATGCTTAACATACAATGCACAATGTACCTGTGACTAAAAAGTGAAGTGTGGAGAGTTCTGGAATGGACAACTGCAGTCAATGAATGGAACCAACAGCCTCCTAAATATCCATGCGTGTTACTTTTTTTTCTCGCCCATTTCCTCTGTATAATTATAATGTAGCTACATGCGGCCAAGGCTAAACGATTCTCCCTTGACTATCATTCCATGTTGTTTGTGGTTCAATAAAAATGAAGACAGTAGTATACGTGGCCCGAAGCCCGGATCCAAATGGGAGGGTTGCATCAGGAAAGGCATCCGTTGTATAAACTATGCCAAATGTGATTGTCCAGTTTCGTTAAATTTGTCTTCCTGCTGTTGAAAACATCGTTGTGGTTCTTGGCTTGCAGGAGCAGGCTGTGGAGGTGTCATCCCACTCGAGCCTGGAGGCGGAGCTCAGGGCCAAAGAAAGGGAGAGTGCACAGCTGGTGGAGGACGTCCAGAGACTGCAGGCCAGCCTGACCAAACTCCGAGAGACCACCAGCACCCAGATCACACAGCTGGAGCAGCAGCTCAGCAGCAAGGCCGCCATTCTCAATGTACGCAGAGGAGAATTCACTGGGATCAGGGAGGGGATGGTGGCGGCGAAGGTTCTAGGGTTCCGATATTAGATTTGCTCTGTGTCTGTGTCAACATTTAAGTCCTCTGTCATCCCCAGGAACTTGAGGAGAAGCTTGTGAAGCAAGCAGACTATGAGGAGGTGAAGAAAGAGTTGGGGTAAGGACGTTGAGAACAATTTATTGCATCCAGTTGATCTCAATGAGGTGGTACAGAGGTATTTCCTCATTTGAAGACGAGGCCTGTAATCTGCAGCATGATAATGTCACCGTGCTGCTTTGACCTCAGAGATACTGCAGCAGATTGTGAAACTGTTCATTTTTATGTTGTTCTGTATAGTGTTATAATACGTTTCACTCTGTCCTCACTCAGTATTCTGAAGTCAGTCGAGTTTGGAACATCAGACTCCATGCAGGTAAAAGTGTCTCGTGATGACATTAATCCCTTGACCCTTGTTCCTTAACTAGAACCTAGAATTATTTGATAATTGAACAAGTATAGTCATTATGAGCTTTTCAGTTGGGTTTGTAAGTTTTTTGGGAGGGGGTTTTCCCTTTATTTTTACTTCATCCTGGTCTCTCATAATCAGGATTCATCCAAACCTCTGGAGGTGCTGTTGCTAGAGAGGAACCGTAGTCTTCAATCTGAGAGCGCCGCACTGCGCATAGCCAACGCCGAGCTCAGTGGTAAGTTTAGGAAAGTCTCGGCCCACCTTTACAGTTATCACGGAGGCTGTTCTGGGGCGGTAGGTAAGGCTGTGCCTGTGTACAGATGCATGGAAATAACATGCATCTTGCTTCCTTTTCTCTGAGAATACTGAACACAAGGTTTTGTTTTAGAACATGTCACACAGATTAGTTTCTATTGAGCCCACGCACAAAACAAGGACATCTCCAGCGAGTTTATTCACCAGTAGGTCAACTACAAGAGATATAAAGTTGCACAACACCAAAAACGAGGACAACCATACTATGCCCCCCCCTACACACACACACACACACACACACACACACACACACACACACTGCATCAGGAGCACTGCAACAATGTTTATGGTTTTAAAATGTCATAGCTTTAGGCATGAATAGCTGAGGAGCTCTGAATTGATTAACATTCACAGTAAGGGGAGCCTACTGTCTCGCTCAATCATGTTAAGTCTCAATGGTTTTGCATTTAAATAACATTACTCCCTGCACCGATCATCGAGATGGATTCATGTAGTTAAAAGATCGGGGTCTGGCGGGGGGGGCGGGGGGGGGGGGGCGCACCTTGTTTTTATACATTTGTTTTGATGAATGTGAAAATTCAGTCAGTTGGAAAACTTCGACCTTGATTATGAGTGTGAAGACCTGCACACACTATTTGTATTCTGTTCAGTCGTAAATATTGTTTTCAGACTTTCCCACTGGATATTTTTAATAAACTAAGGACTTACTTCAACATCTGGGACAATGGAGTGTGCAGATTCACGACTGCGGCATGGAGGAGGACATCTGTAAACATCATATCACTACTTCTTTCCACTGTGGCCAAGAACATAAGGAACTGTGAGCCCCTGGGCCAAGCTAACCCTCCTCAGGGACATAGTGTCAATTGTTTTGGTTGTCCTGATCTCCCCCCTCACCGCCCCCTTTCCAGGTTGTGACTTACAAGAAAGGTTGAAATCACAAATGCATGGGCATTTTGTCTGGGGGGTTGGCAAAAAAGGGAAAGTCTAATTCGAAAATGACTTGATTAAGTTAATTTTGTGTTTCTTCTCTGCTTTTGGACCCCTTTTTTGTTGACTCCCCCCCATAATGCATGGTGTGTTTGACCTTTCTTGTAGGGCCAGCCGGGCGGAAAGGGACAGAAGAGTCAGCACCCAAGGAGGAAACCGGCGACCACGCTTCTTCGCCCCCTCCTCCCCCTCCATCTCTTCCTTCCTCCGCGCAGCCTCCCCTGTCTCGCACTCACATGGATACCCTCAACACTGTCCCCACAACCACCACCAGCAGCAGCGGGGAAACACACCCCTTCACTCCCACGGGCATTGGACAGGACTTCTACTCTCCGGTTTTCCCGCTAGTGGGTGGCAAGATGGCTTTGAACTCATTGATCCAGCGACAGCTTCTGCAGACCTTCTACTCCAAAGCCTTGCAGGAGTCGTCTGGGATCCCCAGCGGAGCTCTGCTGTTCACCCCTTTCACGCCAACTCTCAGCTCCATCCCTACCTCCACCCCCGGCTGCGGTTCCGCCGCTATCCCGCTGGCAGCCAGCAGCCCCCAGCCGCCCCCGGCCAGCCCGGACATGGCCCCCGTTAATGGGAGCAGCACCGCCGGCAGTGCCCCTTCGCCGTCCCCGAGCCACTCAGACGCCACCACAGGGAGCGTTTTGGATGGCGAGGACATGGATACGGCGGAAATCGCCCGGCAAGTGAAAGAGCAGCTGATCAAGCACAACATCGGTCAGCGTGTGTTCGGCCACTACGTGCTGGGCCTCTCCCAGGGCTCAGTCAGCGAGATCCTGGCTCGACCGAAACCGTGGAACAAGCTCACCATTCGGGGAAAGGAGCCCTTCCACAAGATGAGGCAGTTCCTGGCTGACGAGCAGAACATCCTGGCGCTGCGCAGCATCCAGGGCCGGCAACGAGGTTAGCACGTGCATCTTGTGGCCTCGCAGCGTGTTGAGTATGTGTGTGTCAAGCATGCGTGTGTGCATATGTGAACAGCCCCGCACACAGCTATTGATTTGGTTGTCAGTAGGAACTGGCCTTCATATATTTCTTCCTCTTTCCTAACTCCCATCCTCTGTGCCACATCTGTGTGTCGTGAATGAGTTCTTAGACACACGCAGACACTCATCCCAGGAGCCTCTCCGAGCCATTGTGGTCAATACAGAAACCTTTCACAAATCAATAGCATTGATCGGTGGGAACTAGGAAGTAGGCTGAGGTACTGCTAACTGCGTGTAAATTCGATTAGGCTGGGCCTGCTTTTGTTCACGCATCAGGACATTTTTGATGGAAGATGGTCTCGTGGCACGCAGAATGCAGCAGAGTTTACCACCTTATATTAAATCGAGTTTGTGAAAGTCGGGCCTCAGTTAGAAAGCAGGTGTATTGTCATTGTATCTCACACTAGCTAGAAGTAGACGTTGGGTTCCTGTCAGGGCCGCACACGATGAAGAGCAATCCTTTTTTTTTTTTTTTTGTGCTGTAATGTGCACTGGATAAACCTCTCCCCGCATTGCTTTTATCTCTGAGGGAACTTCATACAGTAGCGTAGCTGTTAGAAAATAAACCCACAAGTGCTGTAACATAGTGTGTGGTATATTGTTTTTAACAGAGGGCTCAGGCCAGCCCCAGCTTAGCCGAGTGTTTCAGGATGTTCCGAAGCGGAGAGCCCTCTCCAATACAACTTCACACACAGGTCTGTCCCCTTCACACACAGATTCGAGCACGTTCTGTCCGTGTGGCATGTTTGTGTAAGGGTGAACTGTATCTGTGTGCGTGCGTGTACGTGGTTCGACAACTAATTGGCGGTTTAGCGAGCATAAATGTGCCACGATGGTAGCCGGACAAAGCCAGCATGTTCATTCTGGAGTTTCACTGGTAGTTCAACCCAGAGCACTGTGGTGCATTTGCATGTGTGAGCTCTGAAGGAACCAACGTCTCCGGTGTAGTTGCCTTAGACTGGGAATGGTCTTTGTGCTGTGACAAGGTTAATTATCATTAAATGATCCACTATTCTCTTTGTCTCCAAATAGTTGGTTTCCCTCCTTGTCTTAATCTCTTTCACTTTTTCTTCCCTTCCAGGTAACATCACTGCTCGCGTCCGCACTCAAGAGGCAGGTTCAGATGAGGCCATCAAGTCCATTCTGGAGCAGGCCAAAAGAGAGCTGCAGGTGCAGAAAGCCGGTGAGTGTAAATCTCCTTTTTGTCATGGCTCTCTGTCAAGTCTGGAGATGTTTCTGTATCCCTTGACATTGTTTTTTTCCTCGGCTCTATCACCAGATTTGTCGCATGCGCAACCCTCGTACGCAGGCCTGAAAGGAGGGGGCGGAAGCGGACTCGGAGGCGGAGGGGGGGGCAGCGGGTCAGACGAGGCCATCCGCTCCATCCTGGAGCAAGCTCGGCGGGAGATGGAGGCCCAGCAGGCTGCGCTGGAACCCATCCTCAAAGCTTCTTCTTCCGCATCGTCCCTACTGTCTCAGAGGGACCAAATGAGTTCGCCGCTCACTGCTCCCCTCCCTCCTTACAATCCCCTGGCTCTCTCCCTCAAGAAGCCTCCCAGCTCCCTGCTGTTGTCGCCCTCCTCCCCGTCCCCAGTGCTGGACTTCAGCTCTGGCATCAAGAGGGAGGGCAGGCCCTCTTCGGGGATCGACATGTCATCGGACGGTGCTCTCAGGCAGGGTCGGAGCTCCGAGGGCTCGATACGCTCCGGGACTGCGGCGGGCGGGGTGGGTTACTGGAGAGAGCAGTGGTGGAGCAGCATGCACACGGACCCCCGCAGGTCTTCAGCAGGAGATGAGAACTACAACCAGGAAGACTCCAAAGAGGTGGGGGTAATTGTGTGTCTGCTTTCCCTCTTGCCCCCCTTTTCTGTTTGCATTGCTACTGATAGTTCCACTCTGCAGCAGTTGTATCTCTGACCCATTCCCCTGGTGCGTGCTTTAGGGAATACTGAGTGACAGTCTGTCTCGAAACAAGCCGTGGAACAAGTTGAACCAGAGGAACCGGGAGCCGTACCTGCGCATGCAACCGTGGCTCAATGGAGACCAGGGGCAAAACGCACACATCCAGCAAAGTCAGAACCAAGGTACACAAATCCTGCAGCAGCACACATCTACAATATGATTCACACAACCTCTTTACTCAGAAAGCCCTGATTAGAGCTCGCGGCGACTTGCTACTGTCCATCTGTCAATCACTCAATCTTCCCTCCCTCCCTCCATCCATCCATCCCTCACTCCCTCGCCCGATCTGACCTCGCATTCTCCCATATCCTCCCTGATAACTCCTCCCACCATCCCCCCACATTCACGATGCTGTGGCAGTGTCAGCCAGCAAGCTGCTGGTTTGTCATGTCATAGACAAGTTAGTGTTGCAGCGCCAGATGGCAGCTCTGTGTGTGCGTGCGTGTGTGTGTCTCTGTTTCTCTCTGGGGGTGTAAACAGCAGCTAATGTACACTGACAGCTCCTCATGACTGCTCTCTTCCAGCCTGCTGAGCTGCACAGCAACACTACACAGGCAGAGACAGGGAGATGAAAGAACGAGCAGCAAGCCAAAAAAGCGTCAAACTCAAAAACTTAAACACCTTTGCCGTTCCTTAAATAGGGATTAAGTTGATTTTAGTATGGCTCAAGTCCCCCCCCCCAAAAGCCGACAGAGTGAGGGGATAAAAGAATGGTCTCCTAACCAATACGATCTATGGGTCTTGTCCTTTGTCTCCAAAAGCAGAAGGTACACCGAAAACATCGGCGAGCTGCAGCCCCGCTCCAGAGTCGCCGCTCAGCTCAGCCGAAGAATCTGTCAACGGCCTCACCGGTGATCTGTCGCAGTCGTCCGGGCTCAAGCCCCCCTCCGACGATCCTTCGTGTGGGGACTCCCAGCCAGGCACCCCTCTGCCGGTACCTGGGCATTCGAGTTTGAGCATTCAGGAGATGGTTGCAATGTCTCCCGAGCTTGATACTTATGCTATTACCAAGAAGGTGAAGGAGGTGCTGACAGACAACAACCTCGGTGAGATATCAAGAAAGTCTGTTCTTCTTACCGGGCTCCAGGCAAACCCTAAATGTTTGCTTTTTGCTCCTAAAATATGTGGCAGTACGAGTCAATTTTTCACTTTCTCGCACATGTGTGAAAAGTAAATATGGAAAAGAATCTTTTAACTATCACATTTTTTTCCCATTGGTGTCAAAATTGCCAATTGATATTAACACGAAAGAGACAAACACGAAAGAGGAAGAAGTGGGCCAACTTGAGTGAAAGCTGCGTTTGATTGACCACTGTGATTGGTTAATGTGTGGAAGGAGGCGGCCTTTGGGGTTCGCACACAAATCGTTGGGTTTCACATAAGTCTTGTTACAATGCGCGACCCTTAATTTTCAGATTATTAAATTTCAATTTGGGGACATATGTGCTTGGTAAATGTAAATAAAATTACTTTGGAGCCCTGTGGTACAGTAAACCTGCCCCCAAAAGGCAAACCGCAAAGGGTGGGCCCTTTATGGTTTGCTATTCTCAGATATTTTGTTTTTTTTCTGTTGAACCTACCCTTAGCTATTTTGTCAAAATCTGCGTATATTTTTGTGCGCTTTCTATAATCCCCTAAATGCCATAAGATTGCGCCAAAGCACAGACTAATACAAAAGCAACAACTGGTGTCAAGGAAGTATTGTAAAGTAATGCATCTCATCACAGAGACGAAGACCTTTATGTTGCGAGAGGAGCTAAGTTTAGCCTGGGTTGTTTGCAGAAGAAACGGGGAGGCTTTGCTGCATTTGTAGGTTTTTGCAATTCGATAATGTAGGATAATTTTTAGATTATTAGGTGGTTTTGGCTCATCGTTTGTGGTATATTTACAATTCTGAATTACAATGAAGGCACTTATAAAACAAACAACAACAAAAAAAAAAGTCATTTTTGCCAGCAAAACTCAGTTCTGTATGTATTTTTTTTATGTCCCAAATTGTTGTGCAACTTTAAAACCAATGATCTTCTCTCACAAAGACTACTGTTCTTCTATCCCTACCAGGCCAGCGTCTGTTTGGGGAGACTATCCTGGGTCTGACACAGGGTTCTGTCTCAGACCTGCTGGCCAGGCCCAAACCGTGGCACAAGCTCAGCCTGAAGGGCAGGGAGCCCTTTGTCCGTATGCAGCTCTGGCTCCAGGACCCGCACAGCGTGGAGAAACTCATGGACATGAAGCGACTGGAAAAGAAAGGTGTGTATGAATAGCTCAAGGCTGGAGGGGAGGTAAACAATAACTCCACACACATATCTGCAGAGCTTCACATTTAAATAACAACAAAGACACCGTGGTGCTGTGTACTTACTTGAACATGCATTTACTTGATAAACATACAGATGAAAGCCCTTTTGAATCGCGCGTGCACATCTGCACAGACGATATCCTTTGTGCAGGACGGCCGAGCATGTTGTGCAGATCACAGTCATCTTGGTGTGATGTCAGTAGCAATCAGGACGGCAGCCATCACGTACCGTATTAGATGTGACAGCTAGGGGACCGCCGCGGGCCTGCTTACTCACAGTCATCAGCACTCCTCTTCATCATTGTCATCATTGTAATAATCATCAGTCTATAAACTTTTATTTTTAATCTTTGTTCGTGGCCTCTGATCACGCTGCGTTCCTTTCTTGCTGGCGTGACGTGCGTGATCATCGGTAAAACCGATGGCCTCACACTGACCCCCCTCACCGCACGATTGAGGTTCCTTTGGAGGAAGAATGCTTTCATTTGAACGTCCCACCAGGCACTGGCATCTTATACATCCCCAAAAATAATCGAATGAATGTGTGAAAAGCACATGCACATCTGCACAGCTATAGTTCATTGTGTTTGTATGGTGTATGTTTGAGGGTCACTCTCCTTTAAGCTTCATTTGGGTTTACTGACCCCAAAGTAAAGTGCCCCGGTAGCAACAGGCAAAAGTCCTGACCCAGAGCAGAGCCACGAGGAAAGACACGGACCTACTCTACAGTAACCATGTTTGATCCCTCACCTTTGCGATACCAGCCTGCGAGGTAGCAGCTTTCCCCCCCCTTTTTTTTTTTTTTTTTTTTTGGATTGCCCTAACCTTGCTCTAAGGGCCTCGCTTCTGCTGCTGCACTACTAATATATCTGGCAGCGCGTATCAGGGTGGACAAAATGTCAAACTAATGTGAATCTGCCGTGTACTGTTCATTTTCCGCCTCTGGTGCCTGAAGTAAACTGAGCTCCAGCTGCTGTTTGTGTTGAACAAGGCTTCATTGTTACATGTTCTGGGAATTACAATAGCACCATCTAGTGTCAGTTTAGAATGCCTGGCAGTATATTATTGGTCTTCAGAGGCCCATATGCTGATGGTTACTGCACCAGTCAAGACCAACAATTATGATGTGGGGTAAAAAAACGAGTGTGGTCACAATATAGATACGTCAGGCGCAAAAAGTGCTTATTTGTTGACTTGAAATATTGAATTGTGGCCACAAAAATATTGCGATCACAAAATACAAATAGAAATTGAGTGAGTGAGCAGTCCAGTATGGAGCCACACCAATCACTTGACCCCAACGATGACTCAGATTCACCCTCCGTAAATTTCCTACAATTCTCTAATTGACCGTGTTGTTTTGTCTCTCTGCACAGCCTACATGAAGAGGAGGCTAAGCTCCTTGAGTGATGGCCATTCTGTAGACGGGGGCCTAGTGGGGCCGGACTATGTGCAGGGCTCTCAGAGTCCGGGGCCGCAGCAGCAACTGAAGAAGCCGAGGGTGGTGCTGGGCCCAGAGGAGAAGGAAGCTCTGAAAAGGGCGTACCAACAGAAACCTTATCCCTCGCCCAAGACCATTGAGGAGCTAGCCTCCCAGCTCAACTTGAAGACCAGCACCGTTATCAACTGGTTTCATAATTACAGGTCAGCATTTTGAGGACAATCATGAGCCTGACAAGAAAATTTCATTGATATTTTGGAAAATGTTTTTTTTTTTTTATATATAATTTGTAGATTGTATGTACATCTGTATGTTATATGTTTCACACCCATCCAAAATAGTTGAAAATTTGCGATTACAGCAGGTCCATCGGAAAGTCCAGTGGTAGTTTTACCCCCCCCACCCCCACACTTGATTTAAACATTTTTAAATTGACTAAAACACACTAAAATGTATTCAAACACATGTTTAAGGCGTTCCTTCGCACAGCAATTGGTAACTTAAATGGGGGCCACATTGGACCAAGCACTTCCTAACCAGAAAAATGACAAAAATGCAACTTCCAATATGGACCGAATATATTTAATATGTTCTTTAATACATTTCATTTTTGATAATACATTTTTAAACGTACGGATAAATGATCCAACATCTCAACCGAACAACAAAGGGTTTGGCCCAAACAGCAAAATAACCTCATAGTGTCATTTTTTTCCCAGTGCAAAGGGATCTCGAGCATAAAAAGTGCAATTCAAGAACACCACGTAACTTCTGAACGAGACACGTACAAGAACTCATTTGGTACTGGTACATTTGCTTTCACAAAAATCGACACTCATAATTTCAATTAGTCTTGCGGTACTGTGCTTGTTGTTCATCACGTTGTTGACGCTGTCTTGCTCGCGCAGTTCTCCAAATGAAAAGGAAAGGGTGCTTGCTTCAGGCTGTTTATTTGCCACCTCCAGTTGAAGATGATGATAAGAGTTACACATAAAATGAAAGAGACATTTTGTATATATTTTGCTGCTGTAAATTGCGAATTTCTCCATTGTGAGACAAGTAAAGGTTTTCTTATCTAATCTTATATTTAAACACCAAAAGGTTTCATTAAACTACATCAAAACAAAATTCTGCTAGCTTAATGCTCACATAAAATGCAAAATGCCATTGTTAGGCTACTGAAAATTAGCATACAACTCTAAATTGGACTTGTGAACATATTTAAAAACTGTCTCACGAAACATGGTAGTGTGTGTAGTCACATAACAAATGAAACATCATCAAGTACAATGACTAATGTCCAGCGTCTCTTCCAGGTCACGTATCCGACGAGAACTCTTCATTGAGGAAATCCAGGCAGCTGGAGGGGTCGGGCCTGGCAGTGAGGGGGGCTCCCCTTCCCTCCGCGGTTCAAAATCAGGTGAAGGGGACAGCTGTGATGGGACCGAATCGGAGGGCACAGTGGAGGCACGCCAGGTATTCGGATCAGGCCTGGAGGATCACAGGGGGTCGTATAAAGACCACGACATGGAGGCCGATTCTGAGGCGGGGGCCTCTAATAATTCCCCTTCCCAGATAGACTGCATCCCGCCGAGCTCTAGCTGCGGGCCGGGCGGACTCGGGCTCTTTAGCCTCACGGAGGCATCCCCCGGCAGCTCCGCCTCGAGTACAAATATCCCGGCCTCCGGTCCGGCAAGAAACCCCAGGGACAACAATCTGCGCAAGAAGAAAGCAGCCAACCTCAATAACATCATCCACCGGCTGGAGAAGGCCGCTAGCAAAGAGGACCCCTCAGAGTGGGAGTTCTAGCCCTCCCCCACTCTGAGCATCCTTCGCCCCTCTTGTCTCATAACCTCACCACCTCTAACCTTGGACCCCTCCTCCTCTGTTCCCGTTGGAGAATGGACACAGCCAAAGTCAAGCTCAGCAGCCATTTTTACTACATAGCTTTCCCAAAAGAGGAAAGCGACAAAGTGTGGTTGAAAAAAAAAACCCTTAAAAAAAGATTTACTGAATACCTAGAAGAACAAAATAACAGAGCTTAATTGTCTCTCCTGATGATTTTTTTTTTTGTATACTGAGAAAAGCACTTAACCGTCCTGCTGGCCTCTGGCCCTGCTGTACCTCCCCCACCCCCGCCCACCTCCCTGCCCCCCCCCATATCACCAGCCACTGGTGCACCAGACTGGTTAGTCCTGAGCTGGGGTTTGACCCGCGGCCGGGCAGCGAAACCTCGACTGGGTAAAGACAGGCGAGGCCTGTCACAGCAGCTGTTCCAGTGATACACACTGCTCGATGATAAATAAGAGACAGGAATTCTCAATTTCTTCAAGGAGATATTTTTTCCGCTCTTCTTCTCACCTCCCAAGTGTCCACAAACCTCCCCTCACTCAGTGAGACGCCTCATTTTTCACACTGTAGAGTGACTGTTACAAACCCTTTGCCTTTTTCACTCACTTGCGTGTGTCTGTGTCTGTGCGTGTGTTTGTGCGCGTGTGTTTTTTTTTGTGTGTTTAGGGGTTGAGTCAGTGTGTGCCCGTACGAGTGTGTTGTCGCTTCTGAATGGCGACGCATTTTGTTTTTGTATTTCACTCCTACACACTTAAAGAGGGTAACACACCTGAGCTGCCATGGTTATTGATGTACGAACTTTGACCTGTTGTGTACCCCGTTCTCCTATCTCTATCCTGCTGACAGCCATGTGATGGCCAGGAGGATCACGTAATAATTCCTTGCAAACACACACTCATCTGGAAAGAAAGGAGAGAAGGAACCCTGAGGTCCTTCTTGATGGATGAAGGACCCACCTCATTCTTTTTTTTTTTTTTTTTAATTCATATTGCAATTTGGTTGCCGATAAGAGATTGCACAGTCTTCTGACTCTAAAGATAACAAAATAGGGAATTTTAGGAAGGAATTTAATTAGTACAAAATAAGCAGACAATAAGAATAACAAATTACTGTTGTTTTTTTTTTTTCTTGAAAAAAAAAAAAGAAAGAAAATTAGGATGGAATAATGTTGCATTGTCAAACACGATACGATGACTTCACGTAGTACTGTAGCTGATACTTGTCTCTTGCTTGAAGTTTTTTTTTTTTCCTCCTCATTGGTAGGTTGTGCACGTCACAGTTTTGACCCACCACTGGATCTGTGTGTGTGCGCGCGTGCACGCGCTCGCCACCAGCTAATTTCCTGTTCACAAACACACATCTTTTTATAGGCCAAATCAGGAAGTGCGTGTGTGCGCGTGCGTGTGCGTGTGTGTATGTGTGTGTACACTGGCCTGCATGTCAGTCAGGGTCGAGGTCAATTCACTCAGAGTTCAATATACAAATGTTAGGTTATCAAGCTCCTGATGATAGGATGTATTGTTTTTGTTGTTGTGTTGGTTTGTTTGTTTTTTGCAATGTACAGTACTTTTTAGTTCAAAAGTGAGTTCACTCCAACCCTGGTATGAGTAGTTACACTCTCTTCCAGTCTTTCTTGCATCCAGGGACTCTTTTTGTCCACATTCAATTCTACTGTATACACTACAAATTTAAAGGCATATCACCTTGTCCTCTTCCCACACAAGCCCTCAGTGCCTGTCAGCCCACTGCCTCCCCTTTGTGTGTGTGTGTGTGTGTGTGTGTGTGTGTGTGTGTGTGAGTGTGTGTGAGTGTGTGGTGTTTTTGTATTTCGTACCTACTTGCACACACTACGAGTGCACAACTGACACCCTTCTTTTTAAGCTGTTTGATGCGTTACCATTACATTAATCTTCTCACCACGTAGTTTAATATGATGATTTACTGTAGCTCGGTTTTATTGCTTTTTCTTTTATGGGTTGTTTTTTTTTTTTGCATTTAGTTTTGATTTTTATTCTGCTTATTTATAGGTGCTGTAATTTTTCATTTAATGTCTTATCATTTGGGTTGACTATTTTGTAAGGGATTATACTGTTCCTGAGGGCAAGTAACATTTTTACTAGACGTTATAGACTGCCGGCAGTATTGGTTAATATTTACAGAGACGTACTAGTTCTCATTTGTTTGTATATTCATGAATCCCAAATGTTTAGTGTCATTTCAATACCTTTTTGAGTCATGCGTTTGCCACGCTTCGCACCCCCCCTCGCCAAGCTTTTATGAACAGCAGCCCTAAAATGGCAAGCCCGAGAATCCCCCAAAACATATCAAGATGATTGACTCGCATATCTCTTTCTGTTTTTTACTTGACTGTCGTTTTTGCGGCCGTATCTCGGACAAGCTCGTCTCTCGCTAGAATTCATTCCCCTCTTTCATCGCTATGAACTTGATGATCAGGTCCCAAGTGTATACTTGTTGTCAAATAGGTCAAATGAAATCACCCGAAGATGAGAATGCATTTTGAAAAGAGGTCATATCTGCCAAATTGAGATTAGACAAGTTCTACCAGCTAGCAGGTGTCTGAGGCCACACAGAAGAGCCAGCCTATGATTATGCAGAAAATTAATCTATAGCAGTCCGTACAGCAAAGCACTTATTAGGACAGGGTCTATAAAACACTACACCGGAGTTACCATCCCAGGCTCCTGGGAAATCGATGCCTTTTATTTGTGGAAGTGTTTGGAGAAAAAAACAAAAAAAAAAACAAGCACAGACTGGAACACTAAAATGGAAACAAACGTCGGCTGTTTTTCTCCATGATGAACTGCGTCCTTTCACATAACTGCGTGTGACAGAACGGGAACACGGCTGGTGTAGACATAATTAGTAAGCACCTGATTTCGTTTCTATCCGTAACCCTCTTCCCCATTCTCCGTTTCCTTAACACACACACACACGCACGCACACACACGATTACCATTGTTGGTACGCTTATGTTAAACAAAGAAAAACCCACAACGGTCAGTGAAGCAACTGACAAAAGTGTAGTTTGCCAAAATCCGTATTGTCAAGTCTTATTCAATCTGTTACATACAATAAGTGAACATACAAAGAACACTACTGTGAAACATGTAAGGCTTGGTTATTTTCCAGGGCTGCTTGCTACATCCGGCATGGGGTGTCATGAATACGTTCGGTGCACAATGAAATCTCAAGAGGATAAAAGGCATTTTGGAGCAAAATGTGCTGCACGGTGCCAGAAAGCTCGGTCTCACTTGCAAGTTGCGGCTCCTCCAACAGAATAAAGACCAAAAAATATGCAGCTAAAACATTTGACTGTATTGGTTGTCTGAAGTAGCTTTCTGTTAGCTCTGATCTAAACCCAATCGTATATTTGTCTGGGGAAAGAACCTGAGACGGTTAACTCATGTCGAGTGGGTCACAATACGAGTCAACTGACGTTTGAGACCTACAGAAATACTTTGATTGCAGCAGTTTCCTCAAAAGGTTGGATAGCAAAAAATCAAAAAAATCTTTTCGTTGTAATTTATTGCTTCTCAGTCCGTTATTTCAATTAGCGTTGGGTTATTTTTTTTTGTTTGTTTATTAGTTTAACAAAAAAGTACCAACAATTTTTCTCACTGGCTTAAATCCACGGACATTATATGGACAAAGTATTGGGATACTTCCAGGCAATGAAACTGGGCAATAATGTGGAGTTAAGCAATTTTAAATACTGCTGATTCACACTCAACTACACTATAACGCCTTCTGTGGGCAGCAAGCATTACGCTGGCAATGAAACGGGAGTTTAAAAAAATTAATAGATTCTCCTACCATCTCCCAGCACCCCAAATACAGTGGTACCTCAACTTACGAAGGTCTCTTCATACGAAAATTTCAAGTTACGAAACACCTCAACAGGAAAATATTGCCTCTTGTTACGAAAAATTTCAAGATAGGAAAGGTAAAAATACGGTATGGGCTGCTACTCGCAGCTGCGAGTTTCCTGAACATAACATACTTATAGCTGCTCTGCCACTGGCTATTCCCGAACATCATCCTGGCATCCCATTGGCTAAGACGGACCTATAGCGTATGTGTCTATTTGTTTCGATAGATAAATAAGATAGATATATGCCCATGCAGCCTCCTGGTTATTCGCCCCTTGGGCCATGAGATATTCCGATAGTTTTACATAAATGTGAATCACCCAGAAAAACTGTTCAACGGTCGGGCGATCGCAAATCTTTTAAGTTGGGGGACGACGATGCAAGGGACAGGAAACCGTAAACTCTTTTATTTCTTTGTGGAAAATGCAGGAAAGCCAATTTTCACATCAGCAAAACTTCAAATATTTTGTTGAATTTCCCAACTTAAAATTTTAGTCAAGTTTGTTGCCCTGAATTTTTTAATTTTTATAATTTTATTTTTTTTGTAAAGCAGTATCGTCGAAATTAAAAACTCAATTAAAATTTAATCTGTCTTGAGTCAAGACCAACCATTGAAAGGTTCCTAGAATAATCAATTATGCCATGTGTCTCACTACTTTTGTCCATATAGTCAATCCTGGTCAAATGCACTGCATTTAAATCAAGATGTTCCCATCTTGGGGGGGCGGGGAAACTCCCTCAAACTCTCTTCCCACGGACGCCAGGTGTCAAACATCCGTGTCCCGTCAGAGCGGGCCCGTGACCGCACAGCACGTCTCGTATCTCTACTGTAACCTTTATACGAAGCACTTAACCCATTTCAGCCATCTCTTCGCCACCCCCCCCTTTCCAAAAAATCACATCAGATCATCAGATTTGTGCCTTTAACTGCCAAGCAGGGCACCGAAACGTTGTGATGTCGTCAGACGTGTGCGTGTGGTCCGTGTCGTCTCTGATCCACATCGACCCCCCCCCCCCCCCCACG